TTTAGAGCTGAGTATTCTGAGCCTAGAAACCGATTCTTTTTTTATCAAGTATTTGTTGAGCACTCATTGTGTCAGGCAGTATACTGGGTACTAGTAATATGGTTAAAAAAGAAAAATTCCAGTGCTTCCAGGTTTAGTCACTACATAAACTGCTGACATTTTGGATAGATTCTCTTGATAATTCATTTTTTTTTTTTGTTTTTTTGTTTTGTTTTTCTCCGGTACCGGGAACCGAACTCACGACCTCGCGCTTGCCAGGCAGGCGCTTTGCCGCTGAGCTAAATCCCCAGCCCCAAGAACAAGATTTTTCTAGCTGGGTTTGGTGGCTCATACTTGTAATCCCAGCTTCCTGGGAAACTGAGGCAGGAAGACTGAAAGTTCAAGCCCAGCCTGGGCAATTTAGAGTCAGCAAGATCCTGTCCTGAAAGGGGGTGGGAAGGAAGGGGGATGCAGCTCAGGATGAAAGCCACGGGTTGAGCTCCCAATGTGTCAAAACAAAAAACAAACAAAAAAACAAACAAATACAACACACACAGAATCTTGAGTTAGAAAACTCTAGCTCTTAAGCTTAACAATCTTAATATTAAACTATTCTGAGCGTTGGTTTCACCAAATGTAAAATGGGATAATCACACCCATTTCCCATGGCGTATGGGAATCACACACAGATTATGTATGTGAAAAATCTGCATGGTGCCTGACTTTGAACAAAAATTCATAAATCTTAGCAAGGTTTATTATTTTCATTATTTAATTCTCCCTGTGGAAAAGCAAGAAACAAGCTTTTGAAGTCTGTGTTATATTGGACTTCACTTAAACCTAAACAAAATAAATGGAAAACAGGAGAATTAAATCACAACTCTAGTTATCACAATCAACAATTTGATTATTATTTGATTGCAGTATTGTTTTCTTTGGTTCTCTCAGTCTCTTTCTTCCATTCACTTTGAAGAAAGAAAAGCAACCCGAGACCTCACTGGACCTGATCTCTTCACTCCATTTCAACACTTTTGCCTGGTACTTCAATAGAAAACAGAGTTCCCACCAGACAGCCCTCTCTTAGAGTTCCCTTTACCACACCCCAAACCTGGCTGCATCTTTAACCGTCTTTGACTTTTTCCTTACCAATTTCAGCACAAAGGGCTTCTTCTTTCATCTCTCCGACAATCCTCTAACCCTATGGCCAGCTCTGGGACCTACACTCTCCTTTAATCTTCCCTTGCCTCTTCCCTAATGGCTCTTACCTTTGGCACAATAAAAAAGTTCAAACTGAAAACCTGTCTAACCAAACGACTGATTCTACTTTTCCTTTCACATCAAAGTTTCTTGACACAACAGTGGATGATCTGTCATCCCTGCAAGTCCACCATGCTCAATGTCAACCTGGAGCACTTTGTCTTCTATCACCTCTTCAGTGAATGGCTGGGCCATGCCAACTATCTACTCGGCCACTTTACTCAAGACTTCTTACTTTTCTTGACTTCTCTGGAGCATGAGATACTGCTCAATGGTCTCTTCAAATTCTCTCTTAATCATAGCTTTGGGACTTAACTCATTATTTATATTTTGTATTCTTTTTACCTCTGGTAGTTCCTTGTACATTTTTATGCTAGTGACTTTTTGCTCTTAATCCCTTACATTTTCTATCCCCAGTTTTCTACCACAAAATTCTCCCCCTCCCATTCCATACAATCTCCTTGGGTGATGTAAACATACCCAACAATCATGCCTTGGTACTTGTTATGGCTTGTATTCAGATGTCCCCCTAAAGCCTCCTGCAGTCATATTATGGGGCTTTTTAGAGGTGGCTGGATATAGGGTATGTGATGCTGAGATCACTGATGCGATGCTAGGATTACGGGTGTGAGTGCTACCTGCCCTAAGGGTGAATAGCCTGGATAAGACATAAGGGGCAGAAAGAGGGCGGTTGCTTGTTGCTCACTCTCTCTTGCTACCTTCTGCCTGCTGTGAACTGTTTCTCCTCTGCCATGCCACATTACCTTGGAGCCAGCCTACTACAAACTGACACCAAATAAACTCTGGGTCAAATAAACCTTTCCTCCTTTAACTTTGGGTGTCCTCTGGGCAGTGAGAAAAGTAACTTAGTACTCAACTGCTTTGAAACTCATCAAAGTTTGGAAACATTTTCTTCCAGTCCTCATTGTTTGTGTGGTACTCTATGGGCTAGCTAGAATTTCTCTGTGCTGAGGGCCTTGCAACTCACCACCCTGTCCAACCAAAACGATTTGTTTGGTACTTGTTACACCTCCTGGAACCAACTAATAATGACCACTAAGGTACCACTGCATATGGTAATTACTTTAGTCAAAAGCCCAGATCTCCCTGCTTAGTTACACATTTTATTATAAATATTTTCACTTAAATATCCCACAGGGATTTTACATTCAACATATTTTAAAATCTTCCCTTCCATTTTCAGTATGATTAAAAAACTGTCTCCACAAGACTCTGAAATACCCTAACAGAAGGTCATTCAATATCTCAGTTCCCAGTTAAAAATTACTTGTATTACTCTGGATTTCAGGACAGTTGAAGCACTTGGGAAATGCTGATGGACTAGCAGTGCTTACAGTATGATCTGTGGGGTTTGGGGAGTACCTGCCACTCTCAGATTTATAAGGTCAAAATAATTTTCATAATGCTACTAACACTTTTGTGCATTTTGGTTAAAACTGCTGGTGCCTTAGTACAAACCACAGCACTGGCACAAAAATCGTACTAGTAATGATCTTTGTACTGTTCACTAAGTCACATTTACAGTTAAAAAAAAAGCAGCTCCACTTAAGAATATTATTGATAGATAGTAACAATTATTAATTTTATTAAATCTTGACCTCTCAATACACATCTTTTGGGTATTCCATTCAAAAGGGGGGGGCTTAAACAGAATAAATGGCTGATATATGCCAAAACATGATGGTTGTCTCAAAGAAAATTTCTTAGCTGACTGTTCAGCTTGTAAGCATAACAATGAATGATTCGTTGCTATAGGATGTATCAGCATGAAACAGCTCTTGGAATCCTCAGTAACTTTTAAGAATATAAAGGGGTCTTATGACTAAAACTTAGAGACCAGCTACCTGAAGACTTTCGTTTGTCATAAATGTAAGAATTTCTCCCTTTTAGCTATGAATAGGTTTCTCGGAAAGTCAAGATATAGTTTAATACTTCTAGTCCCTGTCAACATGCATAGTTTGCTTAGATACACCCCCTTACCCTGAAAGTCAGACCTAGCTGGAAAATAATCAGCCTTGAAAACTAGAGATCAAAAATGCCAGCCCCAGTCAGCCTATCCTGGCCTTACCTGCCCTCACTATTCTCTTGCTTGGTGCCTCCTCTGTAAGGCAGGTAAGGCCAGGTGATTGGGGTGGGCACTTTGATTTCGAGTTTTCAAGGCTGATTATTTTCTGGCTAGGTCTCATTTTGAGGGATACACACTGGGTAGTAAATGATGTTTTAAATTTTATGTATTCGCAAAACAACAGAACAGACTTAATTATTCCTGGGGAGTTAAGTGACTGAACTGAAAAGATCTCGTTGAAGATAGGATCAATTCCCTGTGAACTATGTTTTTCATACTCATGTACAATTTTTCACTAAATGTGTAAGTAGAAGGTAGAGTTGACGAATGTCAGTGAAAGAAGTAAATCTGGGGCAAATTTTACCTATATTTTCATCTTATAGATGAGCTTCATAGATACTATCATAGATAGGCTCTCTGCTTATTACAATGTTTAGGAAGATGACTAAAATATTGACAGAGTGATTATTATGTGCCCGGTAAATAACTGAAGAATTAACTATTATTGTCATTTAAAAAGCTCAGGAAACTGAAACCCACATAGATTACCACTTGCCTAAATCAACAATTAATAAAGAGCAGAGCTGAAATTCATAATCCAGAAATCTATTGTATCCCGAACCTGAGCTCTTATCTTTGATATCAGAAGAATATTCTAGTCTGGGTAAAAAATACTAATTACCTTTTATTTAAACACTTAGCATAAATGCTTCAAAGCATCTCACTAGACTGCTAAAATACAAGAGCTGGGAAGTGAAAGAGAGGTTTTTAAACTATCTGAAGGCCTTTAAAAATTCTTCCTAATTTTTAGACAGGAGTTTCTTTTCTATATGACTGTGTAATTAATTTAAAAATGATTTTGTCAAATATGAATTGCCCAACATGGGACCTGTTTTACTGGTGTTTGAATCGAGAAGAACCAACAAGGTAGGATAGAGAATCCTGTGTAGGCAGTTAAGATCCTAAGGAAAAGAATAATTTAGAGTCTTCAAATTTAAATCTTACCACAGACGTCTCACAGCTAAATAACGATGAGTGTGGAAGGTGGTTCTTGTGACCTGAGTCAGGTGAGGAAGGTCACCAAAGTTCAAAAAATTCAAGTAATTCCAGGGTGAGTTTAGTTTTCACATACAAACTAAGGGCAGCATCTACAAACTAAGGCCAACTTCTGCAAACTCGGGAAAACCCAGGTAACACTTTCTAATACAATAAAGCTAACCATCTTAAGCTAAATAAAGTACAGTACCCCGGAAGATATTCTGCTTTTACAGCTGGGCCAAGGATTGCTTTCACTTGTGATCTTTGATCTTTGCCAACCAGTTTACTTGCATCATCTATACTGACCTGATCCTACCCTGAAGGACTCAGAGTAAAGTTTAGTCTATGATTTTCGGAACAAAAGATCAACAAGTAGTGTACAGATGTGAGGGTCAGGGAATGAGTGTGGGAGGATAAGAAGAAGGCAGAGATTAAAGAGAAGGGAATTCAAGGGGAAATAAGACTTGAGGGTGATGAATGTTCATCATCTTGCTTGTGGTGATTGATGGTTTCACAGGAGTGTACACATGTTAAAGGTTATCAAATTATTTATTTTAAATGTGATTTGATGTATGTCAACTGTACGCCCAACAAAGCTGTTAAAAAACAACAAAAACTTGAAAATTTGTTCAGGTTCATTCACGCTCTCATCCAGTGTTCCTCAGCTTCCTATGCTTGGTAACCAGCACTCCACGAAAATGTAATTGGAAAACTGCTTTGTAAAACAGATTTCCTTAAATACTAGTGACATATTTTGCTTAAGTCATCAAACAGCTTTGTGTGTCTGTCTACAGAGATGAGATTTCAGACTGCTCATTACACTTAATCTTCATTTGTTTTACAAACTTGTCTCAAAAAATGCCAAGTTAATGAAAAACTACAAATCTTGGCAAGATAACAAGAAAAAAATAGAGATAAACATGAGACACAAAATAAAATTTGCATCTATAACACATCCAACTATGCCTAGCAGAAACATTTAACTTTGTATTAACTAAAAAAAAATCTTAAACCTCCATATTTTTACAGATTTTCGTGGCTATTTGCTTGTCACATAAAATTCAGAGAAAATGCACAAACAAATGCTTATAATTCTTGGAATAAAAGACAGCAATTGATTCTTGAAATTTAGGTGTAGGATTAAAATTTACATTAGATGTTAAACAAATTAAAATATCAAGAAAAATTATATATACTTGCTGTGTTCCCAAAAGTACCTTATATTAAACTAAATTGTATTAAATGAAATAGCTGGAAAGAAGAAAAAAAATATTCTTTCTTAGTAAAGTGCAGTGCATTTCAGTGTTAGCTCTGAAATCAGTATAAATTATCCACATCATTAAATATTGAAAGCAAACAATTTTATTACCAAATCAGGGTTCTATCATGCAGTAAGAGGCTAAACTGCTCATATACTCACGACTCCCAACATCCTCTACAAAAGTCATGTCCACAGGGCATATCCACTGGATCCTCAAATACAGAAATACTGCACATACAAATGTCACACTGGAGATAAAGAAGAATGACTTAAACTGAGTCATACTTTGAAGAGAACAATACATTCATTTTGTTCACTGGTTTAATGGTAAAAGTATTGGTACTTATAAATTTTAAATGTGTTTCAAAATCATAAAGACAAGCTGGGCTTGGTGGCACATGCTTTTAATCCCAGCACGCAGGAAGCTGAGACAGGAGGATCACTTCAAGTTTGAGGCCAGTCTGGGCTACAAAGTGAGTTCAAGACCAGCCTGAACTGCATGCAAAACGCTGCCTCAAAAAAAAAAAAAAAAAAATTATAAAGGCAAGTATTTGTCCTTTGAGTAACAAATACCATGACTATCTCATTATAAACTATTGTGAGATTTAAATATTTTAGTGCAGAAGTAAAACTCTTGGATTCCAAATTTACATATTAATTGGCATCTGTGCATTTCGGAAGTACAAAAAACAAATCTATACAATCTACTGAGGTCAAGATCAAACTTCCATGTTGCATTAGGGGAGAAAAAAATCCTATGCTACAAAATAATCACTTCAACATCATGTCCTTCATCCTACACTTATCCTGAGAAATCTAGAAAATCAGAATAAGTGTGTTTTTAACATGGCAACTGAGGATATTAACAATAGTAATTTGAGGCAAGAAATTGTCCTATAAAATGTACCTTCTAAGAAAGCCTTTCTAAAAGCAAACATCATGTCACACACGTGAGTTGTTGAAGTAGGATTCTGTTTTTTAAAATGGCCTAAAACCAGTAATGATTTTGTATTTATTACAACTTTTGAGTGTCTGAATCATTTCAAGCAACATCAGAATTTCCTACAAGTATACCAACGGCATGCCAACTTAAAATCCACATAAGGGCTGTTATTAGTCCTTAAAGAGGAAATATTTATTATGCAAATGCATCTGGATAACAACCTCCAGAAACTTTACTGAAACAAATATATGATCACCAGTATACTGCAAATCTTTAAAAATTCGTAGCTCTTAAGAAATTAAAAAGTTTTGTATTTTCAGCTTAAAGAGCATATAACAAACTTCATTTTTAATATTTCAGCATGTTGTTTTTGAACATACTGAAGCTTTTAAGTGAAAATATAGTAAATGGATGCGTTTCCCCAGACTGTTTTGTTTTCTGTTTTGAAATAACGAAAGAAAATTTCTTGTTTTTTAATCTATAGTTCAAAGATCACAAAAATAGTCTGTGATAATAAGGACCTATTACAGCAGGGAAGTAAGTGAACCTTTAGAGGATAAAGGATTCAACTACAAGACACAATCAGATACTCCATGTAATAATACTAAACAATTTAAAATCTAAAAGACTAAAAGCAAAGTTATGGGAAATATATCAAATACTAAACCATACCAAACTGGTATCTAAATCTCCAGGAGAGAAACTGATTTCATCTGGAGAGGTGACGGAAGAGCGTGTAGTCCTTGGCGTTCTTGGAGAAGGGAGTGTGTCCCAGGCATTGTACCCACTTGGTGGTGGAGTTGGCATTTGAACACCTGATCGTTGGCAGCAGTTCTCTGGGTTGGACATCCAAGCTTCAAGTAATTTCTCCCTGTCCCAGTCTTTAAGAAAAATGGAATAGATACCTCTCAAAAATTAGAAACTAGGATGTTTTTGAAGCTACATAATAACAAAAGAAACAGTAAGGGTAAATTAAAAAGATGTAAGTCATCTGAGGAAAAAAAGTATGGTATTTATATAGATTTAGTAACTGTAGCCAGGCATAGTGGTGCATGCCTGTAATCCCAGCACTCTGGAGGCTGAGGCAGTAGGATTGTCACAAATTTCAGGCCAGCCTGGGGTACTCAGTGAATTCAAGGGCAGACTGAACTACACAGTGAGATTCTGCCTCAAAAAAACCAAAATGTAGTAAATGCAAATGAATATCTTTTAATACAGATTTTAAATTGTTTCTATAATATACAGTGGCTTAAACCTGTGTCAGTATCTAACAATATCTCAAAACTCCCAACAATTCCTAGTAATCAAACAGGTGACTGACATCACTTTTACAATTCACAAAAATATTTGCTCACTGCAGGCTTCCTTCAGCCTCTTAACTCTCTGAACAAGTAATTTTGCAATTGGCCTCACTGGTGTCAAGTTGTGAGATGATTATATAGTCACTATAAATATGTCAAAATGCCAATCTCAGGCCCTAGAAATCATTTAAAACAGCTTGAATGTAGAAAGAGTGCCATAAGGGCTTTGGGTTATGAATATTATAGTGAATTAGGCATCAGTTCTTATTGAGTCAAGATTTGGCATAATTAAAAAAAAGATTGTCTTACACTTTAAACACTTATAAATTGGCCAAGTGAAACACAGTCTTACAATGTCCAGAGCCATAAGAATGTAACCTGTTAAAGACAATAAACTAATATACCCAATTACTATGCTTGCTAAGCGTTCTACACACTTTAATGTGCTCATCCTAGCAATCTTCTCACTTATTATTTAAGTAAAGAAATTAAGACTTAAGAAAGTAATTTGACTTAGATAAAGATTTAGACCTTTCCGAGGGCTCCAAAGCTGTTTTCTTTTCATTATCACACACTATCTCTCCAGTATGTTAAAAGGGTAAGTCTAATTACCCTTTTAATGAAGTCTAATTATCCATAGGTCATTCTATAAAATTTTATAGCTCAAATACAAACAGCTGAGAAAACTTTCTACAGAAGATATTTTCAATCATATTATGGCACTGTATTTGGCCAGTGGAAAGCATGACATGTAATAAAGACTAAGGAAGTGTATTTTCCAGCTCAGGAAGCCACAGTACTTCAAAGGCACAGAAGTGTAACTGAAGACTTACATAGGTCTCTAAGGTTGTAGTACACAGTGCTGTGGTTTGGGGAGATGGAAAATACAGTGAAGTGGGAAAGGTGGGTCAGATGACAAAGGGGAGGAAAAATATAACTGATAAACATTGCATATGAATGTGTTTCAGGAAATGGTGCTAAATGGATTTTAGTCTACTGATAGGTCATTACTTTAAGGCTATGGGCTATATGGAATATTTCACATTCTTCTAGTCCTGCAGATTGTCTTTTAAATTCTGTATACTTCAAATATGCACCAGAGACCTAAATTTTCTATCTGTACGGGAAGTTTATATGTACATATAAAACAGGCATTTACATTTCTCAGAAAAAGCAAGATATAATTTTTGCTTCTCAAATAGATGACATTAAAATTTAGCAAACCTACTGACTTTATCAGTTGAAAGCCATTTTAATACATAAAAGCAATTCTTTATTTGAATGGACACGTGGAAGAATTATTAGAGATAAATACTAAAATGTTTTCTTTGATTTTTCATAAAATTTTTTTATCTGAATATTCTTAGTTCTTATGGCATCATATAACAAGGTGTCTTACAACTCAACCAATGTACTGATATTTAAAATGGGATACCAAGCAATATGAAGGTAGGTAAAGAAATTTTTATTGCTTATTGGTAGCTATTGGGATTTGTGGTTAAGGAAAGCTAATCTTCCATTAATGTTCATTTTTATAAAATGTCATCACTTTCACAAAAACAAATTACTTAACCTCTTTGTGTTTCAGTATGGCTGGGGGCTAATTAGTATCTACCGTATTGGTCTCATGTGAATATGTAAATACGCTTGAAGCAGTGTCTGGCACATGTTTTGAAGTATCAATACAGTGGTATCTTGGTGCTCACTGATTGCTTCCAGGTGGCACGCTGAGTAACAAATATAAGCATCAAATTGTTTTGGCTGGAAAGGGTATTGAGTCATAAGGCAACAGACACTCAAAAGTTCTAACTTGCTTGCTGAGGACCACACAAATCATGAGTACCTGGAAAAATTTTCTTGTCAAGTATCAAATCTGAAGAGTTTCAAAGCATGTGAATACCAATATATGGCTATAAATGTAGGTTAGGGTTAGCTCTTAGTATTGTCTGAGGACTTATCAAATGACAAGTGACAGGAATGAGAGCTTTACCTAGGAAATTATGGTGATGAAGCACTAATTTACTTTAGGAACTTAAACAGTAGAATAAATAAATTATGTTCAGGGGTACACAAGTTACCCAGATTGACCTTATCGTATTTCTTAAAATAAAATTTTGGTTAATAGGTTTAAAGGATAATGTCAGAAAAAGAAGATGGAATTAAGCCTTTAAAGAACAGCAAACTAAAACAAAATTTAAAGCCTCGTTAGCAAAACTTATGTTAAAATGAGGCATAATTTAAGTCTAAATTATTCTACTGAAGATAAATTGTTAACTTTTAAAGCTCTTTTTAATAGATATAATAATAGGCTGGGTGTGGTGGCCCACGCCTGTAATCCCAGCACTCAGGAGGCTGAGGCAGGAGGATCGTTGTGAGTTCGAGACCAGCCTGGGCTACAAAGTGAGCTCAAGGCCAGCCGGAACTGCATAACGAGACCCTGTCTCAAAAAGACAAAAACAAAAAAAAAAACCCACA